TGAAGCGTGAGTGTCGTTGTGGGGATCGTTAGCTGTGGCCAGGTGGTCGTTTTCCCCCACTCTGGTCAGCTCTCGCTCCGGGACGCTGGGACTGTTATCTCCGTTCCGTGAGTGCCTCCGGGAGCGGTGCAACCCCCGTCTGGGGGAATCGTGAGTGTAATTCTGGGATCGTTAGCCAGCAACAGGCTGAGCCTTTGGTCATCGAGTGGGGGGGGCAGTACTATTGTGTGTCACTCATTCTTTTCCCTCCTCCGGAATCGCTGGCCCGGAGCGGGCTGGGTGTTTGGTCATCGGGTGGGGGGGCAGTATCACTGTGTATCACCCATTTGTATATTTGTATATAGTATTGTTTTTAATATTATTGTAGTTTAGTTATTAAATTGTCCTTATCTCAACCCACGAATCCTCTTTACCATTTAACCCTTTTATTCTCTCCCCTATAATTGGATGGGGGTGGGAATTGTGTGAGCGGGTGTGTGTGGCTTGGCCCCGAGCCAAGGGCTAACCCACCACAGTTGGGCAATGGCTAATAGCTGTTACAGAAATAACATAAGTAGGCCTTATATGTGAGAAATAATTCTATTTGAAGGTAAAAATTTTCATTATGCTTGTTACTGTAAACAAGTTATTTACCTGACTTTGCTTTTAAATCATCAACCTTACATATACATGTACAAGGATTAACAATAGAATAAATGATGCCATGTTCTGCAAGGACCCATCTCCCTACTTGACTTAAGAGCCTTCGCTTTTCAGATTCTGCCTTGATGGTGAGAAGAAAGGTTTCTTCCCTAAAACCAGATTTTTATTTTTCCTCATAAGAGGAAAACAGTAATTTATTTTTTTCTCTTGACACCTTGAGCATCTTCATAGCTAAGGTCTCCACTTGGTAGCTTGCAGTAACATTGAAAAGACTGTCTTTTTAGTGCCTATCCAGCTGTGTATTTATCATTGAGTTTCTAGGAGCCTGAGGTGGAAAGCATCATAGGATTTCAAAAAATTCGTCTAGGATAGTGATTCCACAATCCTCATCTACAAATTGGGAAAAATTATTAAAACATTTGTGCTTGCTTCCAGTTTGAGGTTTTACTGTTTGTCCTCTTGAACTCAGGTCTTCTTTTGTAATCAACATTAGATTAGTGCAGTAATTAGACTAGATTAACAGCTTAGTTTATAAACCATTACCAGAACAAAGCATCAAGAATTTTATAACGTATGTTTTTCAGCATGCATTCAAAGCACTCAGAGTATGTTTTTGTGTGATTCTGCCCTGACCTAGATTGAGCAGTGGAACACGGTTAATAAATCTGGTGTATGGTTGACTGAATTACACCAGGCAAAATTAAAATCACATTTGTAAAAACTCACAGAACTGCTCTGCTGTACTTCCTAAAGCCCCTGGTTTTGCCTGGTGTCATCTCCTACAACTGTACCTAGGTCACTCTGTAGTTGAAAATTGCAGCAGAGAGGAAAGATAGGAAGGAGCTCATGCAGTCGTACCAAGGTAAAGTAGAAATAAGGAAATTTAGAGCAAGAAGATGCCCTATCAAAAGGGCCTAAATAATGTGAACTGTTTGAAGGAAGAGGGAGGAAAAGAGATAAAGCTAGGTCTGATCAACTTGTGAATGGTATAGTGGATTCTTTCTCCTGTGTACTTTGTGTTGTCAAATTTAATATATACTTGGTCCCACAGGCTGTGCTTAAGCAAATAGTTCTACTAGGGGCAGATCTGGTTTCAAGGATGATCAAATAAACAATTATTGTGATGTAAATGGGAAATAACAGCTTCTGGCAGGGGGCAGAGAAGGAGCAGCTGGAGGCAGTAATTACTAAACCCAGATGTGAATTTAATGGACGAGTCCAAATAGCCAGAGTTTCAGGAACAGCAAACCTGAAATAAAAGGATTTTTTTTTTTTTTAATTTACATCCGTACAAAAGCTGGAGGTTTTGTGTCTGTTTTGACAGATGAAATGTGTCAGCCAAGAATGATTCAGTAAAGCATTAAAGATCTTTGCAATAGAAGCACTTGCAGGGGGAGAACTGCATGATAAACTGAAATACTGAAATATATTGGGTTATTTTTACTAAAGTGTTTTGCTGCTGCTTTGTTCCAAGCTAGATCACTTCAGTGATTGTTTATAGTGTCACACTGGGGCAACAAACTGCAGCATAGGGATGAGAATGAGCAACTGTGTGTGGGAACCTTTTAAGTCGCATCTCCCTCACAAAAACTGTTGTGAAATAGGAAAAAGAAAACAGTTTTTGTGAAGATAGTCCAAGGCAGGCAGAAATTAGGATGATGGGAAAATGGGGTTTGGTTAAGGTTTGTACAAGACGTGGTATATACACACACACATGCTGCAGCAGGACTTATTTATTATCTCTTCAATAAACGCACAAATCCTGCCTGAAACACCAGTGTCTGAGAACCCATGTTATGATACAGAGGTTATGCAAGCTGCAGGAATACTTGCTCTTGGCTGTTTCTTCCTTCCACTGTACTGTAGGTCACCATTTTATTCAGCTGTGCTGATGTAATCTGTGCCTGCTACATCATAAACAAAATCAGGGAACTAATTCATGTTTTTAAAAATGTTAATTTGAGTAAATTTGGGAGCGGGTGACAAGGGAGCACTGGGGGCACAGCAAATGGGAGATGCTTAATGTTAGTACAGTCAATAAAATCCCGTGTTGTATAGTGAGAAATACTGACCTGCTGTAAAATCTCCTGTGACACAAAGAGCAAATAGGAAATTGTGATTATATCCTAGAGTGTAGCCAGAATAAATAGTAGAATTCTACTTTCTTATCATGAACATCAGAAAGTGGGTATTACTCTGACCTTTCTGCAGGCTGGGATTTGTATACTGAAGAGAATCTAAATTTAGCCTATTGATTAAGCCTTTGTTTAGCTGTAACCATATCCCTGTGTCTCAGCTTTTCTGTATCTGACAGTTTGAAGAGGTGTGAGGCTCAAAACTTCCGCTTTATTTACTGACTTTCTAACTTTATAATCAGTTGGAGTTAGCATCAAACAAAAATTTTAAGTGTCTCTAGCTGAGAGAAGAGGGGAAGGGGAGCATATGTGTAAGGAAAGGCCATAAGCAAATGCTGCTTGTTTCAAAGTAGAACAGAATTTTCAATTCCTCTGTATCCATTCCCAAAGAAGTGATTCTTGTATAACCTCTATCAGGACAAGGATACAGAACACAGAGGCAGAGTTGCTCAGCTGTCAGCTGATAGACAGCTCTGGTATTGGCACAGAGAGAGGTGCAGCCTAATTACCTTGGACTGGAGGAGAGGTCAGTTCCATAGAGAAAGTCGAGCAATGCATTTTTCATTTTGGTACATGTTTATATTGCACTGTGCCATTTATTTCGCCTCCCTCCTCCTCCCTTTTTTTAATGGATACAGCATACAACTATAATAAATTTGAATCATTTTATATTACTTTGGTCCCATCTGAAATTGTACTTTCAGTTTATTCAGTGCTTCTGTGGCACAATTTTTTGTAAAGTCAGATTTATCAAGCTTTCATATATGCACTGGGGATTAACAGGATGGGCAATTTCCATAAAACACATTTATAAACACTTTTTATCAATTCAGTTTCAGTGTCATAATGAAGAAGTTACTTAGGCTCTTAACAAATGACAGAGCAGTTTTTAAGTGCTTCACATGCTGCAGCGCCTGACGTAAAGAGAAGCTGCTTATCTAAAACCCTGACATTTAATATAGCTTTACTTCTCCAATTCATGTGAAAGGAATGAATTAGACAAAGAATTCAGTTGGTCCTGCATGTGAAAATGAGTTCATTTATTTGTGATGTTGCCAGTCAATCACAGTGTTCTGTATATGTAAGAGTATTTCCTAATGTTGTCAGAACTGGTATTTGACCTAATTACTACATGGCTGCTAAATGATATTGATGTTGATACCCCTGTTGGAAATAGGTGTTCAACTAAATGTGACCAGAGGGAGGTTTTTCTTTTTTTGTCTTAATGTTATTCCATTTTTTTTTTCCCAAGTCTATATATGACTTAAAAATTAAAGGTGAGAAGTAATTTAAGAGACGTCTGTGGTTTTAAAGTCATTACACAATGAGGGTTATTTTAAAACTCAGTGTCATAGATTGTAAAATAGAACTAGCTGTAGGTAAAAGTAGAATTAGAGAGACTTAGTGAGATTAGCATCTTCACTGCCAGTATAATTTTGAAAATGAGACTTTGTAGTGTGATACACCTTTTTGCCCCTTTGTTGTCTATAGAATTCAATAGACTGATTTTTTTAGAATATTTGCTTTTTGTTGGGGAGGCGCCCATACTTAAATATGTATATTTATGTATGTTACAGTATTTTAAAACAATTTAACGGAATTATTGATTATACCAAAAGGCATTATGGATAGTGTTTATTCTGTAGCTCTTCAGGTTCATTAATTCAAAAGGACCAGTTCGACCATGTTTTCTGTGACTTCAATTTTATAAGACCAATCAACCAAGCCATTTGTGCTCGTTCTCACAATTGAGAGTGTTGCATAGAATGACCAGAAACTTTACCCATGTAATAAAATTATTGCTTCAGGATGTGCCTTACTGGGCTGGGAGAAAGCGAGAGTAGTTAAAAAAATGTGCAGTTGGATAACACACTTGATATCACCAAAAGTTTTCTTTTAATCCTCCTCTTACATGAATGCTTCTGCATGTTAAAATTCATGTCACAGATGACTCGCTCCTCACAGTGCCTTTTGTAGAGGGAAATCTGAGTTTTCATGGAATAAGTAACTACATAGGGGTCTCTTTCCAAAATCAGCATCATGTGTATGTGCCTCAGAGCTGATAAAGTGGTGGGATCCACAAAGCTATTAGGAGGCAGTAACGATCTTATGCATGCATCCATGTCCCACCGCATGTAGACAACCTCTTCCAGTACGTGGTCTGCAAGAGCTCAGTTTGTCTGCTGTGTGTGTGAGAGATGGCATCAAGGGGAGTTGGTGCCCTCAGAAAGAGAGTCATCAGGTAAGCTGATAGAGTAGCCAGTGCCAGCTGAGCTGGATCAGAGGAAGAGTTTGGCCCTCTTGGAAGAGGGGCAATAATTGGATCCAGAAATAGTTCACAAGTCGTGCTCTGAGATGGCAGAGCTGGGGCAGAAGAGGGCTTAAATGTCTCATCTGTATGTTTCTTTCCTCAATCTGATTCTGTTTGTACAGAAATTTGGGCAGTTGCTGCAGGGTTCACGAAAGCGTCACTGGGAAACTCTACAGTCCGCAATGCCTTGCAGAACAGCAAAAAGGAGGAGGGTGAGGCTGTGCTTTTGGGGTAGACCTTAATAAGGATATATGTATATTTTCACTACAACTGTCTGATACTTCATCAGTTGTAGTTTACCTCCAGGACAGTTAAGATTGCTGGAAAAAAGCATGAAGCTAACCTTGAAACTGTATCAGGTGGATGTATTTTGATTTCCTGACATTCTCAGGTGGTTTTTATGGAGGCCCAGTGAAGTGCCCTAAGTATGGGAAGCTCCTACCAGGAGAGGGAGAGTAATTTTTCTTGCAGTTTCTGACCAGTGAGAAGAATGACAAAAAAGGAGGAAAAAAGAGATTAAAAAGCCTAAGGCGTGACAGAAAGAAAATGCCCTTCCAGGACAGCATTTCAGTCACATAGCAATTGAAAGGAACTTGGTAACGTGTGATGTTTTCCTTTGCAACATTTGTGTCTGCTTGTACGAAGCTGCTGAGGACTCTGTTTCCATGGGAGACGCGAGGTCAGTTATACTGGGCATCATGATGTAGCTCCTGTGGGAGTAGTACAGATAAATATCTCACACAAACATCTCTTCAGTTACTCCGTTGGCATTGAACAGCCAACCAGCTAGCAACACTGCTGCGTGGAATGGGAACAGGAACACAGGCAGCACTCTCTTCTGTGCACGTTATTGAAGCGGAAAGGTGACGATGAAGGATGCATATCGCATTGTACCACCTGCTCCTGCTTGAGATCTCCTTCACACTCTGTATCAATTAAAGAGGGAAGAATGATTTTTCACCATTTTGGCACCTGTAGAATATTGTTGGTTGGAATATTGTTAGATATTGCTACACAAAGCTAGAAAAACACTACCTCTATCTGAAAACATTTTCTGCTTTTAGGTGTGAGATTACAAGGTGATGTTATGTCATTCAGTGAATCCAAATAGTTCAAAAGTTTACGGTATCTCTTTATGTGCTTATTTGCTGTCCTAGCTGTAGAGGGTTTGTGTGCTGGCTGCTTTAGTCTTAATTTCTTTACATAAAGGAAAGCAATACCTTTTCTAAGGTCTCTGTTTTCCAATAGGAGCAATCCCTGTAACATTAATGAAATCTGAGGATTCGTTGTTGTTACAGCATAGATATATGTGTAGTTGTGAAATGCCACACTTTGAAAACCAATGAAATGATTATGTTACTATGCAGTATATTTTCTTATTTTAGAAATACACATAAATAACTACATCAGGCAGTTTTGCAAAGGTCTAAAATACTTTAACAAGAATCAGGTACCCAAATGGTAACTTCCTCATGAGTTATTACAATCCATCAGTAACATTATATGGTTTTAAAATCAAGATCAGTTAGTGAATTGTCACTTATTTGGCTTGTGGTAAGCTTGATATCAAATGTAATACTACTTAAAATAAAATGCAAAATAAAATGAAAATTAAAAATGAGTTTATAGTATCATAAGTTATTTACTTTGGGTTTTTTTTCCAGGCTGATAAGTGAAGATCTGCCAGAAGTTCCTATGCTTTACAGAGATGTCTCGTCCCTTTTGCTTATCCAGATTTTAACCATGCCTCAACCATTGCACAAAGGTATGTTACAAAAATACGTATATTTATATTATTATGTATATGAGGCTGCATTCTTGGTGATTTCCAGGATAGCTTGTCTACTGTGTATTCTAAAATAATGTTTCTGCCTTATCTACAGAAGGTGGCATTGAACAGAAATTTTTGTTGTGGGTTGGCAGGCTTATCTGTGTCCCCTGTCTTCTCACCTTATCAGTCAGTCTATTCAGTGAAGATACAAGAGCTGAGCAAAAACTATTACGTACTTTTACTGAAGGAAGAGTGTCCTTTGTTTGACCTCCCTCTCTTTGCTTAGAGGGGCAGCTCAATACTTCAGGTTGCCTAAGGGTGAAAGATTATAATTTACTTAGAATTTCAGAGTTTAAATTGCAGCAGTTTTACATAATAGAAGGCCATATATGAAGATGATAATTGCTGTAATGCAGCAACTTCAATAGAGAACAGCATATAGTATAAATTAGAATAAATATTAAATAGATATTTAAGAACTGAGTTTTTCATTACTACAATCAAAACAACTGTTTTAAACCCTAAATTTCTTCATCTGTGTAAAAGGAACAGCAGAAGCTGATCCATCTTGCTAATACACTGCTTTCCCCAGAAGACGAGTAGTTCAGACCCTTTGGTCTCTGGCTTGATTATTTATAGCTATACCTTTATTTAAACATGAGAACAAACAAACGAATATCTTTTTACCGCTTCACTGGCAATGAAGAGAGTATCTGCTTTGGGGTCTGTGTGGCAACTTTGATGCCTAGTGAGTTCTGGTAATTTGTGAATAGGTAAATACAGGGACTGTTCTACTCTTGATACATACACCTAACTTACAAAGTATAGTAGGAAATCTGTTCCCCTTAAGAGATGTTCAGTCCTCACTATTGAATGTTCAAATTCACCTCAAGTGACTCTGTGTGTATCTGTTAACATTGTAGGTTGTGTTTTTCTGATTCGATGGATTAAGTATGTCCAGTAAATTATTAGAATATGTAGATACCATGAGATTAAAATATTATTTAATAGGAAGGCTATTGTCAAAAAATATACTTTATTTTTTTTACTATAGTTTAACCTAAATTAAATTTTATTGGAAGGACTTAATAAAAGCAGTAAACGAAAGTCTAACAAGACTAACGGCTTCTGAAATACATGGAAGGGAGTCTTGAAGCCAAAGTACAATCAGTGGTCTCTTTGTAGTTTATATTCAAGCATTAAAAAAATACCATTTATGAAAGTATACCTTATCCTAGGAAAGACAACATTCAATTAATAGTAAGGTATCCTGTGGAGAATTCTGTAGAATAGCACATATCTGTAGCACGTTTTGCCTTTGCTCTTAGGTTTAGTGTGTGTTGCAGTTGAAAGGGAAGTGGCAGGAAGAAGATGAATGTAACCACTTCAAATCTACGAAGCATTAAATTGGAAATAAATTGCCATTTATCTTTCCAATTTTTGTTTCATCAAAATGATTCAGAAGAATAAAAAGAAAGTCTTTTATGATTTCTTTGTCCTGAGGTGTAGAATGCAGTTCAGAAAAGTAGGTAATAACAAATTTGTTAAGGACTTTTATAATGGGTGTGTAGGTCACAGAGTTAAATTCAATATCGTTAACTCTTGGTAGAGAGCTGAGGCTTGAAAAGATAAAATGGCTTGTGCACAGTCACGTGGCAGGTCAGTGACAGGGGTGAACAAAATCTACATTTGACCCTACTGCTTCCTGAACTTTCTGTGCTGCTTTGGTGGTTTTGTGGGGTGCAGGAGCTATGAATGTGGCTGGACACCTGTATGCAGACAGAAGGTTGATGTCTGTGTGCACTGACAGATATTTCTAGTACATTCCATTAACAATGCACTTAACTGCATTGCAGAAGGGGTGATGTTGCAGTCTGGTGCAGAATGCCCTGATAATGGTGTTAGAACACTAATAATGAAGGAAGAATTTGTAAGGCTTAGAATCCGTGAAAGATTTTCCTCCTCTTTTAGCATGGACTCTCCTGTAATGATACTGCTTTTGCACAATCATTTATTAGGTATGTTGATGTATTCAGAGAAACCAAATTTGTGTCCTTACAGGAAACTGTTCATCAAGTATTAAATCTTTTTCATGTTTGTACTCAAAATCTTTTTTGTTTACACTATTTCTTAACAACACTGATTGATCTGTAAGGAGGACCTAAACTTCATCTCCTGCCCTTCAGTGTAGTACTAGGAATTGCATTAACTACCCTGTTAACTGTTGGATGGTGTTGGTATCTTTTTCAATCCGGCATTGATTAAAGCAATAAAAATGCCATTACTGTTCAGCCTCTTCATTCAGAGAGGAAAACTGATCTGAACACATCACAAAGAAAGAACACTACAATTTAAATCTTCTTTTTTTTATAGGAGAAATTTTATGTTGGAAGTCAGAGCATTTAAAAGCACTTACCAAATTACAAAGAAGGGAATAAAGAAGATAGTGTGTACCTCCTGTGTAGTGGAACCAGCAAAATAAGCACTGTGTTCAAGATATGACACTAGAACATGGGCAGAGCTTTCATAGGCTTTATATGCTCAGTATTTTGAAATTGTGAGAGACTAAATACATGATAAGCCACAGAGGCGTTTCTGGTTTAATTCTGTGGCAGATGTTGTGCAGTGGATGGACAGCGTTCGTGGTGTTGTGAATGGGGACTCGGTAGAAAATGAGGATTTTGTTTCTAGAATCTCCAGCTCCTTTCTTACAAAAATAGAAAATGGTGTTGCATATGAAGAAAGTTAGTAGAGAAATGGAGACAGTGACTTGGTGTTTAACAAAGCTGTGATTGTAAATTGACTTCAAGACCCTCTACCACCCCTTTCTGCAACACAATTTCTATATGCTGAACAACTAATTTACTTCAAATTGGACATTCTTCTTTGTTACCATCAATTGTAAAAAAAATTATTTTCCTAGTACCTCTCTTGGGACCCACATGGCCAGATTTCTAGCAGCACAGAGTGCTCATAGCTTCCAGTGATGTCAGTTTCTACTTTGTTTTGAATGTAAAAAATACCATACTGTTGCAAAGTATTTAAAAACTGGGTGAGCAGGGGTGAGCCTGAGGCAAGCAGGTGTATAGAATTGGTGGTCAACTGGCCAGCAGTGGCCTCAAGTGCTGTGCTTGGTGCCACACACACAAGCAGGGTCACACAGCAGTGTGGGTGTTTGCCAGCGTGCTGTTACACAGCCCAGTGTTGCTCTAACATAGGCTGTTGTGCTGCTTTCACAAGATCTGTGGTTAGGGAGTGGTGGATGTGCTCCAACTTGAAAACTGGTTTTGAGAGTTTAACCCAACCTCTATGGACTCTGGGAAAGGTTTTCTTCTCTGGTGTGTAACACCTAAATTCAGCCTCTTTTTTTGCAATTCTGATAAGGCCCAGATGCTGAAGAATGTGACCTGGATGTTCTGACACATTTATTTTCTATAAAGTTTCAATGACATACAACAAAAATACAGCAAGCAGCACTAAGGTGAACACGAGCACTTTTCTTTAGTGATTGGATAAGGATCTTGACTAAATATAGAGTGAATGTAATCAGCTTGAATAGTATCCAATTGCAATGTGGAAGCTGAAATATTTATCTGTATCCTGCAACTTTCAATATACCTTTCACGGATTATCTGAAGTTCAGTGCTGTCTCCTTTCGTTCTGAAGTTATTTTTTCAAATAACCATCAAAGCTTTAGATCAAGAAGAATGTTTCCAAAGGCTACTTATATAAAGATGCCCTTCTTAATTCACAAAGAAGGGTCCTAGGACCTTAGTTTTGCACTTGGTTCACTTTGTGAATTCTTTCTGCAGTCATTGCTTCCCAGTGTATATCATCTAATTTGATATTGAAATGAAAGGATGCATATTGTTAGTAATACACCTATTCATCTGCACATTTCTTGTGCTACTGTTAAAATTAGAGTTGTAGAAATATTTCCTGTATAAACTGTATTTTTGAAGGGGTTTGTTTAATGCACATAATGCATGGGATCTTTAGAATTATTAAATCAAAAAGGTGATGTAGCAAAACCACAGCCTCCACCAGGGGGGCAGCAGGAAAACACCACGCAGCCCCCACACGCCTTGTGGAAAGGCAAATAAAATCACTCTTTGCAGTAAACAAGAACGTAACAGCTCTAGTGTTATAGATACCTACAGCTGTCAAATATTTTGCATTTTACAAACAAGAGATAACACAAAGTAAGGAAATTATAATTGATCCTCTGACTGGGGTTTTTAGTATGTCTGCCATGGGGTGTTTTTGTGACTATAAGATAATTGTTTTCAAAGCCTTGGCACTCATTACACAGCATGTCACCTCGGAGCTGTTCCTGTGATATTGTCATTTAAAAAAAAAAAGTTTGTGCAGAAGTCAGGACTACTTAAGGGTGACCCAGGTGTGAGAGTGTGCATTTTTTGTCTATATCTGTCTTCTCCAAAAATGTAATTTCGTAGTCATTTATGAGTCACATACATTTAAGTAAATACAAGAACATTATTTTATTTTAAGAACCATAATATAGGGTAGCTATAGTATTTCTGGTGAACTGAACAATTAGTATTAGGGTGGGGATAAAGACAAGGAGTAAAAGTAATAAAGATATTTAACAAAAACAAGATTGTAAAATATGATATAGTTCTGGAGGGTGCTAAGACACCCTGTATTGAGCACCGTGTACTCACCTTAGCACAACAGAATGAAAACTAGAAGATGAAGTGCTCTGTGGCAGATGGGTGAATGTTGATCAGCAGCCTAGTTTTGCTGCTGTAAGTGCAGTGCTTTTCATTCATGCTTTTACAGTGTAAAATTGATCTCTCTTGCTTGTACCTGCTATTGATGGAGACAGAGCTCCATACTTGAGTTCAGTTCTAGCTACAATTATAGACTGTAGCTCAGGCCGAAAAGACAGTTTTCACAATTGTGTGAGTGCGTGTGGTTTTAATCTTGTAGATTTTGGTTCCAGAAAATTTACTGAAAGCTTGCCCGCTATTATTCCTCAGAGGGAGAATTGCCAAGAAAATGTGTATGTCAGCATAGGGAAAATAATAGGGCCTGGAGATCTAATGGGATCTGATGAATTCTCCCTCTGGGGAAATGTAGAGAGAAAAAATCATTATAATGCTACCTGCTGTAGAATGGGCAGATGAAGTATAAGAGCATTCACTGTCATGTTTAACATAAGCTCCTTAGGAAGATAATACAGAAAAAAAATAAACTTTTAATTACATAGTTACAAATGATCATTTAGGTACTTCAATGGTGCTTATTGTATATACATTCAGTGACATTAAAAAGTTTCAAAATCCACGTCTGTGTTGATTTGTAAACATTTGTTACATAAAAAAGCAATTGTTATTTCACAAATTTAATTAGGTACTCAAGTCCTGGCTGTGTTTGGTTTAAAACCCAGTGGTGGGTTTTGATATTAGATACGAGAAAGGAGAAGCAAGGAGTTTCATCTCCCTTACCTCCTTTTCATTTTCACATACAAAGCTTGTTTGAATCCTTTGGGAAGAAAGAATGAATTTAACCCAATTTTTTTTGAGGTAAATAACAAATGTTTTTCTTGACTTCAAAGCATGAGAGGACTTCTAAAACCCTCTTTTTTTATATATTGTTTTAAGTATATATTATAGTTATGTTTGTGCTTGAGGAATTGTGTAAGTGATGATAAAAACTTCTTTGATCTGCCTAGATTTAAAAAAAAAAAAAAAGATTTTTTGGGGTGGGAAATACAACCTAAAGTAAAAAGCAAAAAAAGGAGTGCTATTGTATCTTCATTTCAGAGAATGATCACATTCACCTTTTTTTCTTGTTCCAATTTTAGGAAGTCTTATTTTGCCTCTGTTGCTAGCTTCCCCAAAAAGGTTTCAAAGCCTTTTTCCTGCAGCCTATATGTAGGAGATAATAATCCCTTAAATACTATGAAAAACTGTAAACAAATAAAGGGCTTTCAAAAGAAGGTAACTTCTAAAATTACATTCTTTTGTCCTCCTCTGTATTCACATAAGGTCCAGTAAATAGTGATTTGTAGCAGGTCTTGTGTGGATCTGTATCTGTAAGTGATACTGAAGTATGCTACATTTCCTTCCTACAGTGATTTCTTTTGGAGCTTAATGTTTCCAGTATTTGTATGCATGTAACTTACCCCAGACGGTTTAATCACTGCCAGAAGAGATGGCAGGATATGCATTTGCTTACATCTACAGCACCCAATTAGTTTTAGCTGTCAGTAATTAGTAGCTTAACTTGATGTAACATTTGGACAAAATAGAATTTTGTAATATCACCAGGTCCCTAGGAGGAAGTCACTGCTGATCAGGATTAAGATGAACATGGGGAGCAGTGGGAAATTATTTGCTCTGTACTTGTTCCACTCAGTATGGCTGACAAGTCATTTTTGAAAGCCAGTAAATATATATATGTTATTTTGTATGTTTCCAGGGTTTGTACTTTTTGTATAACACTCGCTTTTCATTTGAGAAGCATCATTTCCATAACTAGAGAGTCTGTAATCAGTATATTTGCTAAAAATACCAAGTGTTTAAAAATTACTTTCTTTGTTTTTGCAGAACACTTCACCTGCATTATAAAAGTGCTGTTCACTTTATTGTATACTCAAGCCTTGGCAGCACTATCTGTTAAATGCAGTGCTGAAGATAGGATGGCATGGAAAGAGTCAGGAGCTCTCAAAAAGGTTCGTTAATTTATTAAAACATTTATTAAATTTCGCTTATTTCTGGTGAGAAATGTAACAGATACTTCTGCTTTGCATATAATAATTTGCTTCTGCTTGACAAAAATACAGTATATTGCTGCACGTGAAATTTCTGCAGCTTTTGGTATGTGATGAGACTTAAAAGCTTCATAGTGAATATCTAGTTCCAAAACTGAGTTTGACATTTGAGGGTGTATCTCTATAGTTTCAGTTTTGAGTTTGTTGCAATGGTATCAGTAAATGCATCTTTCCTTCCTGTGAAATTGAAGCCTTCCTAGGTAAGCCGTGGGTTGATCTGATGCACTCCTTTACAGGAGAAGCAGGCAAGCTTGTTTGTGAGGGAAAAAACTCTTTTTCTTATTTGTTCGCTCTATTTGTGGCTAGCCATATAAATTTCTTTCAATATGTGGTCTAGAGTGCTGGTGTGATGAAGGGGCAGAGAAGCAAATTCGTAGACGAGACAGGCAGATATTTCACTATCATTTCCTTCCCTTTTGATAATACTTACAAGTAAAGTGAACATGTGTCTTGCTGTTTCAGTTCAGGTGATTGAATGCCAGTTCCCACCAAAAGACACAGTTCCCTGCACTGGCACTGGCATTCATTTAATCCTTCGATTTTTCTGCGTCATGGATTGATTCCTCACAAGGTCAGAAGAGTGTCAGTGCCAGACCAAGGGAAAGGGTGGAAGTGTTGGGGCCAGGTCAGGAAATGGGAGCAGGAATACCCCTGTGCACAACAGCTGGCCCTTAGATTATGTTGGCTGTAAAATGAAATGCACACTGAGAAGCATGACCTGCTTTTCACATCTAAGATAGATTTGTCAGTCTCAGCTCCAAGGTAGTAAAACCAAATTATCTGCTGACCAAACTGCTACTATGTGGAATTTTTTTTTTTTTCTGGACTTAGATTAAGCATTTGAGATCACTGAGCAGCACTGCATTTTGTTAGCTCCCTGTCCACTCCCTTCTTTCAATATATTGTCATTTTCATAGAATTTCAAGATTTGCTTGAGGTTGTTGCTGGTGAGGGATTTTTTCCATTTTTCTGTTTACTTAAGTGATTCCCAAGTGATAAAGAATTTTACGGTTTAAAGTTTGTGGTAGAAAGCATATAAATAGACTAAAGTGTTACCAGCTTATATCCCCTCATAGTCCATGTGATATACATGGAGTGCCTTTTTGTTAGTAGCAGAGGTTGGAGTTTATCTGAACATATATTGACAATACTTAATTTTCTGTCTACAGTGAGAGCTTTTATTGTATGAAAATAGACTTAGGGCATATGTGGTGGGCTTTGCTTTATGTGAAGCAAATGCTTTCCCATGCTTCTGTAAGACAACATCTTAGTATTAATAGATAGCAAGACCACCTCTATCTTCTACAGAAGCATGGGAAAGTATTTGCTTCACATAAAGCACTGTGTACTTGAGGCTTGCAAATTATGATAATGGGTCAGATAATGGATTTATGAAGTAGCCATCTCTTGATATTCAAGACAGTCCATTTTAGTTGAGTTTTCACTAGTATGCTTGCCTTTGATGGGTGTTAAGGCCAAGTGGGAAATAGTACCACATTAGTAAGTGTGTTACTGTGAATGGATGTTTTGATGTAGTGTAGTTCAGATATAAGACAACAGATTAACTTTCTGTCAGTTTGAGAATTTTTACTTTTCTTCTCCAAGAAGCCCATTGAAGGCTGACAGTTTTCCAAGTGGGAGAGCAAAGAGATAGGAGGTAGATATGAACACTGTTCCCTGCTGCACATGTGCTGTACTGACAGCATCTCTCACTCTCCCTTGAAAACATCCTCCTCCTTCCTCTTCTCTGTCGCAGGTAGATCGCATGTGTACAGAGGTCCCAGTTCTGACAGCAGCTTGGCACCACGTGCTTAGGGTGATCTCTGCAGGATCCTCAGGCCTTCAGGGACTCCTACCCTTACTTCCTTCTTGGCTTCCATCCCACCCCAGTGATAATCTACCCCAAGTGCAGAGGTTTAACAAAAGTCCCATGTGCAAGTTTGCCCTTCCCCAGATGTCCAGTTTCCTGCGCCTCCTCCTGCATAATGTTGCTGCCTGGACTCTTTGTGCATGCAAGAGACCTCTGAACACGGGGGACTGGCCAGCAGTAATCGCACACCTCCCTGTTCCTCTTTCCCGGCCTTTTGGCAGCCCTTATCTTCTTGAGCCTAGCCATAGTCCTCAGATTAATTCTTTCTCTTTGCATGTCACAAGGGAAGCTGGTTTCTAGTTTAGGAATGCAAATTCTTTCTGGGATGACTACCCAGATCACATCTTACTTAACTCTTGTCTATGGATAATGCCAAGTGAATCAGTTTAGTATTCCAGACATTAAACTTGAGCTGAAGTCTTTCCTCTATAGTCATGCCAAGTGATCAAACAACATTAAGAGTTTAATTTCTCAGCAGGACTGAGAGGTGGATATTCTACTTTATCTTTGCAAGGTGTCTGATGGTGTCATAAGAAGCACACAGTAAATGCCTGTAGAGTAAACTTCTAGTAATAATGTAGATGAAGGGTCTGCCCTAACTGCTGATTTCAGTATGTGTTACCATCTAGTTCTTGGACTATGAGCATAAACATATTTAATCTCACCTAGTTGCTTTGAGATTTTTTAATAAAGAATCCTGGTAACTTCCATTATGACTTTAAAAGAAATATATTTATGGGAATACTGCTTTTTATTTCTGATGGTTTTCTATAATTGTTGCTTTAAATGTAAATGCTATGGTAGAAAGGTAAGTGGCTATTTATTCTTTCCAATAAATATTTTTTCCAATCTGTAGTAGATATTGTTCAATCCAAACACAAGTTTCCATTTTCTGATAGACTCATTTCAACTTAAAATACATCACAAGTGTTTGTGTTTGTTTACTCATTCTGGTTGGTACATTTTAGAAAACTACTTTTTTTTTTTTTAATTAGTTGCATTAGAATTCAAATTCTGTCAAAACACAATGGTTTCATAAAGTGATTCTTGCGAATTTTAAAATAAGCTTTTTTATATTCACAGAAAAAAAATGGGAAATGCAACACTAAAAATGTTTTCATTTAACAGTTTAGAACATGTGTAACTGAAGTAGCAATTTCACTCTGTGAGCTAAATGTGGTCCCTTTCTGTAGAATTTTTTTTTTTAAAAACAATGTGTATCTTTGTGGGTCAAAATTCATGTTGATCAAAAGGGAATGTACTTCACCACTGTTTCTTTTACAGGAACAGTGTCTCCTTTTCATGACCAGTGCATTTTGGATTTCTTTCCTTCTTTTTTGCAGAATACATCCAATGGAGAAAAATCTTGGGAAGTATTACTAGGTCATGTGATTAGTGAGCTGTCTAAGGGGAAGATATATGAAGAAGGAGAGACTGAAGAATTAACAGTGGTATTGGCAAACCTCTTGAGAATTTATCCAGCATGTCCCCTTCTGTCTCTTATTTAAGTTTTTCAGCCTCGTCGTTATAATGATTTTTCTCTGATCTTGCTAAAGACTGCCGTACAACTCCTTATTTTCTAGATCAAAGCATGTCCCTTTGGGACAGTTTGCCTGTGCAAATCTTTCTTTTACTAATATCATATATTGCCAGTGCTGTGTTGAGAAAGTATTGAGAAATACTTCTTATAATTGTGGTTTTTAATCATATGTATGAAAGACCTTTGGAAAACTGAATATTTAAGTAGAAAAGACATTTGTCAAGGGGGAAAGAAAACCCACAATAGTTCTTTCAGGTTATTAGTGAAATGCTGGCCTTTGGAATGTATATTTGATGCAGTGGTTTATATAGTATGCTTAAAAAACATTTGGTTCATATTGGAGTTTCTTACATAGGAGGCAAGTTATCTGAGGCAGAATTTAGTAATTGCTTCTTTCCCCCATAGGTAAATCCTGACTCTGTAGAGCGCTATCTGCAGCAGTTCTGCCTGCCTTTCCTCAGGATCACAAGCCTTCTTCAACACCATCTTTTTGGAGGGGATTTACCTAGTTGCCAGGTACAGATTGAGAGGGGCACACTCAAATGTTTCCATTTAAAAGCCAGAGATCAAAAATTAGACTTGTAAAGTGTCTTTTTCATGGTATGTATTTTCTATCCTATTTTTTTTTAAATCATTTTTATAGCATTGCTCTGCAGCATTGTTTCTCTTCTATAAATTTGTTTTCAAGGCAGTTTCCCTGAAAAATTATACTATAGTCTTAAAATTCAGCAAATACTTGCTTATTTTATCAGGTCGTAGATGCCTGTCTCATAAAATACCAACATACTTTTAAAACTTGTCCTGCATTTGCAGAGATAGCATCATTTCCACACAGACTTGAATTCAGTCCTGAGTTTGCTTTTAATGCCTGTTGGACATTATTCACAGAGACATTGCATCAGCGGTCAGTTATGCTTAAGTTCCATGACTGATTTAAGTAGAGTTTGCTGCAGGTCAGCTCCTTTATTTCCTTGCCTCAAAATCATCTCACTGCAACAGCTACAAGCCAGTTTGGGGTGCTGAACGGGAATACAATTGGGGGTTTGGGGACAGGTTTTTTGTTTGAGTTTCTTGGATTTGTGGTTTTGTTTGTGTTTGGGGGTTTGTTTTTTGGTGTTTGGGTTTCTTTTTTATTCTGACCAGTTTTCTTTGTATTTCAATAATCTAATTTGAGGTAATCTGGAAAAAATGGAAGCTTTTCTGTGTCTCTGAACATGTCTATTAGCATCATTGTACTAGAACGTCCTTAGTGTTGTTATTGGAATAGACACATTTTTAATAAACTATTTAAAAATTCAGAGTGTAGGTAATAATCTAAAATTCTCTGGTTTCGTACCTAAAAGGAAGATGAAGAATTCACAGTTGTTGCAAGCTGCCTGGGTCTATTACCATCTTTTCAGTCGGCTCATCGGTTCACCAGTGCCTCTTGTCTCGACTGGCCAGTGCCAGCATTTGACATGGTATCACAGTGGTGCTCAGAATTGACTTCATTTGCAGATAGACATCCAGATCAAGTAAAGGTATGTAGTAAAATTACTTCTTCCAAAACAGTGCTGATGTGGAAGCAGCTATTTATTGCTTGATTCACTATACACATACACTGTTGCTTTGGATAGGGATCTGAAAACCTGATTTACAAATCTGATTTGTAAATGAGAGAGAAAATGTAATCTGAAATATTAGTTAGTGGATGTGAGTTCGATTGGTTAAAAAAAGGAATAAGAAAACCTATTTTCTTTTTATATGATTGCTGGAGACAGAAAATAGAAACACTATCTTGATGATTCTAAGTGTACCCCGTATCTTCTGCACCTGAAGCCTATCAAGGGCATGTAAAAGAAATTTCATCTTTTAAGAAAACACTTACCAGAAGTTTTTCTTGCCTGTTAGACACAATTGATATTTTTGAGCATCTTCAGTTGCAATACTGAAAAAGATCAAAGGGGTAAAAGCTGCTTAATAATTGACTGATAAAAGATGGTACATCTTCTCTGAAGGTTGAAGGAACAATGCCAAGACTTGAATCAGTGGAAATGTTTCAACATTACTACATTGTTTTAATGAAGAAGCTGCATCTCAACAATTGAAGTCCCCATTTGCTAAGTTTAGGGTGTCAAAGAGGCAAGCCAGATGCATTCTTCACTCTGCAACGATCTGCACCTGCCCTTGCACGTTTGCAGGCATGAATTAGGCTGTTGTGAATGAAAATTTGAATACTCAGATTATTCTCAAAATACAGTTGCTGCCAATCTGACAGGCATTTGAGAGAGATTGCTGTGAAATTGGTGGTGTTCTTTCCATGAAAGGAACTGGGAACAAATGCAATTTTCCCTTTTTTTTTTTTTTTTCCTTTTTTTTTTCCCCCTGCAATTTAGGTTTTGAGGTCATCCACTCTTCAAAAAATTCTACACTTTGCAAGAAAGATCCTATCTGACCCCTATGCTCATCAATTGCAAAGTCAGTAAAAACAAGTAGGCTGAATGAAAACCTATTACTGTCTGGAAAAAAAAAAAAAAAGGAAAAAGAGAAGAGTTAGGCTTTGAAACCAGTATTTAGGTAGTGCCTGCCTTGTCAAAAATTTGTGAATTTGTGAGTACTGGTAAGTTCCTAGTGGCCTCAAAATTTATGTGAACACAGTTTTGAAAATCAGACATATGTCTTTAAATATCATTTACAGAGTCTAACTATTTTAAAAGTTTTAGTTTAAATTTTAGCGAGGAGATGGCTTTTGTAGTCAGTGCCGGGGTTTGGCAGCAGTGTGTTGATATTGCCAAGATAACAGTGTGGTGAGTGGGTGTCTTCCCTTTAGATTGGTCTTAATCCCCTTGTTTCAGCTATGAAGATCTTTGCACTTAAAAAGCTTCACATTTAGAAAACATCCTTGGGAAAAGGCTGGTGCCCGTTTTGCACCTGTTACAAAAGATGAAATGTGACCACAGTTGGGGAGGTTGTTCGGCCAGAGGCAGGTGACCATTGCAAGGTGACTTTTGACTTCTGAATTTGTGAAATGCAGAAGTGAGAGTTTTTTAAACATGCTGCCTTTCTTTGCTATTCTTTTTTCTTAAAAAATATAAATGCATAAATGAATGCACAGAACTGATCTATTGTTCTTATTTGTAGGCTTTGCTTATTCAGGAGCCTAAGTGGGACTTGCCACGCCTCCTTCAGTTGCCTGAGAATTATAATACCATTTTTCAGTATTATCACAGAAAGACTTGTACTGTTTGTACCAAGGTTCCAAAAGATCCTGCTGTTTGTCTAGTTTGTGGTACTTTTGTATGCTTGAAAGGACTATGCTGCAAGCAACAGAGTTACTGTGAATGTGTACTGGTAAGAGAGAGTGAATTCAAATTCTATAACTGATTCTCACACTAATGGATAGTTTTTAACTCCATTGCTCAGTTTTGATGGTTTTCTTTCCAAAAACGTGTTTATATAACATTTAGTGCTTATAGATGGACCTAGACTGGATTCTAGAGAGCAATTTTGTTCACTTTTTTAAGCCCATAGCCTATTTCACCTGTTTGAAAAACTCTTCTAAAGCCATTGTGTGTAATGTTGGCACTTGGTTTTGATTCATAACCAATTGAAATTTGTCTACATTTTTATTCTTCATATATTGTTTTAATTTTCCTCTGTTTTGTTTCCTTGCTTTCTGCGTATATCAGAATAATCAATGTACGGCTGGCTTTTTTTCATTTTGTAGAGTACTTTCTGATATACCTGACCATCTACTAGTGATCTACAGACTATAGCTAGATAAGCATCATTTTACACCCTTTGACTTTAATTCAGCAGCAAAGTTTTCTAATTAGCATATACGTATAAATTCTTTCAGGAGCCTGAGTTGGACAGCATCTAGTATCATTTTTCCTTCTATGATAAAGGTTTGCTTTGCCAGCTGTTCTGTTTCCTACCATAGAACACTTGGTAGAAGGCTGGAACTACATGGGCTTTACAAAACTATGAGGGGAATTTGTTGGGGAGATATTTACAAATAGGGAATAAAATCAAACCCAAAGACATTTCAGAGGGATCTTGGACTTTTTAAAAATTGTTTGAACTGCCTTTCTCTCACATACTGCTAATACCGTGGGAGAAGGAGGGGTGGGCAAAATTTAAGATAAAATTAATGGTTATATTTAAGGTGTCAAACCATGAAAACAGAAAGTTATAAAAAAATAATTAAAAATCTGTATAACTAATTGCATTTTATTATAGTTGATGGGATTATAGCCTCTAATTGTAATAAAACTATATAGGAAGAGCATGGTTTTTAATTGCTAAAATGAATTGATTAATACAAATCATGCCATTCATAGAGGTGAATGACATATTGTAGCAAGCAAGAATTATTTAAAAATAAATTTTTTTAATGAGATCTGTAGAGCCAGAGACTAGATCTGTGAGCATGGGTAGAGAAAGCAAATGTTTAGTAATAGAGACTATTGTAAAAGAGGTAATGTTAGTTTGTCTGAATACTTTCTCTTATTCTAGCTATCTATGAAAAATATTGTCATGATACAAGGTTCGCTATACAACAACAAATTCAAAACATTGTAGAGAAAATTTTTGCTCATTTTATTAGATAATTCTGTTTTAACATGATAAATATTTTCCCTTTTTGAGCAGGGAACCATTTTTGTATGCAAGTGTTATCATGGCAGCACAACACATGGAGTTCTAGTTTTCTTGGAGAATTTTGGGGCAGGCTATCCTTTGTCAAACTGTTTCTTAGTAAATAATGTGTGTCTGTTATTTCAAGCAAAACTAATTATTTTTTGAATCTTTTTTGTTATAAGGTTGACAGACACTAACAGAATCTTTGCACTCTTCCCTTTCTGCACCCATAATATTACAGCATTCTCAAAACTGTGGAGCTGGGACAGGAATATTTCTTTTGATTAATGCATCTGTAATCATCATCATACGTGGCCATCGCTTCTGCCTTTGGGGTTCTGTTTATCTCGATGCACATGGTGAAGAAGACAGAGATCTTAGGTAATGTTTTTATTACAAGTGTGTTTCATTGTTGCTCCTCTGTGTAGATCAACTTTATGTTATGCAATAACTTGCAATACCAGGTAATAATAGATCTCCACTTTCCTGGAATGGAAAATTCATATTTATTGCAACTTGGACTGTTTATTTTTTTGGGGTTTGGTTTGTGGTTTTTTTTTTTTTTTTTTTGGCCTAAAGGTGTTGTAATCATGATCACTGAGTTATACACACCAGGCATCCAACAGACAGATTCCTATGTTGCCATTCCTAATGACAGTCAATTCTGAGTGTTGCATTGGGAAACACCACTCCCAAAGTTTTTTGGCCTTTAATCAAATGATGCAGTTGGATTACAGGGTAGGGTAGGAGTGTCACTTCCAAGCTACAGATGCCTGAGAGAACAAGACATTCTTTCTGGATTCTGCTATCCAAGGGGGAGGAAAGAAAGTAGCAGTAGTTGCCTTGCTAAAAGCAAAACCAACAGGCCTTGCCAATAAAAATGCATGCTTCCCCTGGGAAAAAAGTTGTATGAGTATCGTGTGTTGATTATATAATTAAGCAATTTTGCATTTATTTGGCATATTAACCATTAGCTTTTATTTTTTTTTTCCTACAGGCGTGGTAAACCTCTCTACATCTGCAAGGAAAGATACAAAGTGCTTGAGCAGCAGTGGGTGTCTCATACTTTTGATCATATCAATAAAAGATGGGGGCCACATTATAATGGCTTGTAAATCATCATCATCATCTACTCACTGTATCATTGATGTTACCATGAAGGAATGCATCTTGACTGACAATAGCTTTAATTGAATGGGAGTTTAGCTCTTTGGCTCGGGGTGGAGCGGGGTATGGGCATAAAAGGGAAATAGAACTTTGTCAACATGTGAAATTTTTGCAAAATTAGCTGCTCTTGCTACTAAATAATGATAAAATAATTTGAAATTAAATCCCCAGAATAATGTGAGCAATCTGGTTGCACTCAGTAGTCCATTTTTCTTATGTTTCTAAAAGCCCATTATTGTTAAGAAGCACAAATTTTACTTACAGTTGTTTAGAGGCTCCAGGGATAGCTGTCAGGTTTTTATTTTTCTCTGCATGGAGTTGAGTTTTTAGCAATTTTTGCTGAAACAGTGTATATGTCTACTACATCTACTAAATATGTTGGATAAAATTTCTTTGCCTTTTTTTGTGTTGGTTTGAGGTTTTTGCTTGATAGGTGTTTGTAATTAGGATTTGTAAAATGATCGTGAGACTGCATGGTAACAATTGGTCTGAAAGTTGAACTTTAAAAAGTATTTCACTTATCATGAGAGGTCTGTTGAAATATTTCAGGCATTACTGAAAACTTATGCATTCTCAGGAATTTCTTTTTTTTCCCCTCCATAAATAAGTGAAATAGCTTACTTTAGATATCTTACTGCTCTTAATGTAATCCAGAACACATTTTCTTTCTTTCTTTCTTTTCCAGAAAGGAGATTTGTTTTTTCCATATCAATTGAATAAACTGTTAGTGATAACATATACAGAAATTGCTGTATATAGAGAATTTCTATGGCGCCCAACATAACAGATCCCTGTTACAAACGTAACACCATAAGTCTGCCTGTCATTTCAAACCAGATGTATGTTTCAGAATGACTGAATGGGAAATGTGCAGGCTATTCTGCAAATGAAACATAATTTTGTATCTTTCCTGTCATTTGAGGAGGTTCCTCTATATTGTATTTGTTTAGAATAATCACTGTTCTTTCTGCTTGGTTTCCTAAAGAGGAAAAAAAAAAATCAACAGAGATAGCCCAGATGAACAACCAATGCATGTGCAGCCTCGCTGGATGAATGCCAAAACAGTTTATGCTTAGAGAGCTAAAAAACTAATGAGAACAGGCATGACTGGGCTAAACCCCAAAGTGTAAGTAGGTAGGAAAGATGATAGTTAAAATACTGGTATGTAATATATTGCTACTAATGTTTTTCACAAGTGTTGGACATATGTTGGCTGTTTCATACAGTACTACCAAGCAGTTCCTGGTAGTTTTGACTTTCATAGCTTGTGTGTAAAATAAAATTTATATGTGTAAAATAAAAACATCTTATGATAAAACCACACATACAATGAAAACAGTTCCCCAGTGGAAGTCATTATCTAGTGAAAGGTGTATAGGGGAAACAAAATGACTGTATAGCAATCAAGGAGAACGGCCAGAAGCAAAAGTAAGTAAATAAAATTAGTTTTTCTGGATACCTGCAAATCAAAAAACTCCACAATAAAGGATGCTGGGTTTTATACATACATATAAATATATATATATTTCCGAAGTATTACAGTACTTCCTGTAAGATTAGAATTACTCTGTTTCACCAACTAAATGGCTATCTCTTTTCCAAAATATTACTTTTTTGATACTGTATTATAAGTTCTGCCTGTAATATTTTTGCATTGCTCGTTATGAATATCAGGCCATTTTGTAAATGTGGTTAAAGAGCAAAAAGATTCTTTACATCTCCAGCATAACATTGTTACAGGGCTCATGAACTTGAGTAATCTGTAGTTTGAAGCTCCAATGCTATATTTACAAGAGATAATGTATCCAGAATTTGATTACAGTTTTATTTAAAATGGAATGTTCTCTGGTTGTGCATATGGATGTGAAGTAAAACTGTTAGCCTTAACTTTGACATTTGGGTATTTCATAGTGTTTCTTTTAGTACTGGTGAATTAGTCACCAGTCAATTTAAAAACAACAAAAAAAAATCACTTGGTTGAAAAATTGTACTTGAATATCCTTGCATGCTGCTAAACAAGAATTTTGATTTCCCCCATAACTTTTTTAATCCTACTTTATTAAGCTAACCTTGCAAAATAACAGGTCCAAACTAGAGTGGTGTGTGTGTGTGTGTATTACTCAAATGTTCTGGTGTGATATCCTGTATGAATGATCATTTAAGTACAGTACATTACTGTAGAATCTAAATCAATCTTTATAACACATCAGAAGAGTATAAAACTAGGAATACAGTAATCGACATTGTAAGATATGTTAATAAAAGTCTACTGTCAATCTATGTGTTTGTGAAATTTTTTCTCTCTACCCTAGTCATCCAAAATTACTATTGAATTCCACCAATAACCAATAGCCAGGCAGTTACTTAAAAGCTTATGCATGTGAAGTACTTTTTGCATCGAGAGTAAATCTGTAATGTTTTTTCTTTTTGTTACTTACATACAGTCATGTATTTTGTACTAATAATTTGGCTTATTTTGTTTTACTCATAACTATACCACTTGAAGTTGTGCTTAATTTTATGCCAGCTATTACAACATTGCTGCTGCAAACTGCTAAAATTAAAATCCTGAGTTGAGAAAGTATACTTCTGGGAGAACCGTACTTGATCTTCTCTTCCATCAAATCTGTTTCTGGAATATTTCTTCAATTTGTTGAATGTATATATTTATGTATTAAATTTTTCCTTTTCTTTTGACCTTTGAGAAATTTGGCAAAACAGAATTGTTTTGACTGTGACACTAATAGTGTCTTTTCTTTAGTGGCGGCCTGAAATTGTCAATATTTTCATCACTTCTGGAATAGCAACCTTGCATAACTCTCAGCATTTCACAAGCAAATGACATTTTTCCTTTAAAAAGAGAATATTTTGCTACAGTATGTAACAAATGTTACTGTTTACTTCAAGAATCCATGAGATCAGTTTGTGCTGGGTGTATAGCTGCCAGAGGAGACAGTGAGTTTTGTGCTGATTTTGATATGATTTAGGTCTAATTGTCATCTAACCCAGATTCTGCAGTCCTTTTCACTTTCTGTTCTCAGAGGTAGGGGTAACGATGAATGGAGCCTGTCTGAGCATTAGCCTAGATAAGAATGAAATTATGCTGTTTGCAAAGTAAGAAAACCACAGGAATGAGCTGACCCAGTGTATGGAGGTTCACAGCTCTCAATTATCAGCTGTGGGATATGAGGGAGCGCGTGTGATGGGAAGAGGCTGGCTCTGTGTGACGGTTCCTGTTGCGTGGGTTGCTCACTGCCGTCAGGGAGATCCATTCTGCTGGTCTGAAGGCCACACCACACAAGTGCCTCCTTTTGGTAGGCCGCAGTGCCCACAGCACCTACTCTTGTGTTCTCTCAGATGGGCAGTTGTTTGCCTGCAAGTGCTGTTACACTGAGAAGAGCCCCAGCTGCCACGGGTCAGCCTTGTGACTTTACTTGCCTCTACTGCCACTGTCGTGTCCTGCCACCACAGTTGTAACCTTGCCAGGTTATACGAGCTAGTAACTCCTGGAAACCAATGTCCTTAAGTATGAAAAGCATATTCTCAATGAAGTCAAACACTTTATTAATTCTTAGCTGTGTAAATGGCCAGGGCGTTCTAACAAATTTTAAAATAATTTTAATTGAAAGGTTCTTATTTTTTTTATTCACTGCATCATTTGTACTTTCTTACCACTAATACTAGTCAGGAGATTTAATGTCACATGCTTCAAATGTTGTGTTTCTTTGAAATACTACTGAGAAAGCAAAATTGAATCTTGTTAAATAAATCATCGTTTCAAAAAGCTGATCTTACTACCCTAAAACATTATTTTTGCAATGTATGCTCTTGCATGATACAGGAAAATGTGGAAAAAAAACCAAACCCCACTCTTTTGAAAAGCATTTTAAATTTAGCTCCGAGTCCCAGTTAAAATGTCTCAAAATGAGCTTTCATTAAAGTACTATTATTTCAAAAGCCATTTCCTGTAATTCTGTCATTTGGTGTAGAGCAGGCTGGTCTCTTAATTCATGAAAATGGGAGCTGGTTCCATGGAAACCCCTCGCATCATTGAATGATTTACTACCCAATAAACAACTTACTATTCCTTTTGTCTTCATCCCTTGTATGTACCACATGGATGGTAAACCTTTCTATTTCCATTTAGTATGGAAACAAATGTTTTAAGGACTTTAGCTAGAATACTTCTGTTTTTTTCTTCCTTTACCTGCTGTTGTGGAGCAGGAATTTTCTGGGAAAAAACTGTTTTCCTGTAAAATCAAACTTCCTCAGTCAACTCCTTATGCTGTCCCTAATGTCTGTGTTACATTAGATATTAGAATTGCTTACATCACCTGTTGTGTAATACATTTCCCATTGTAGGCCTGTCTTCAGCTCATGACTACTAAACTTTTCAATAATTTTGACTGAAAATTATTATGGTGGCCTTATTTCTCATGGTTGGATTTTTTTTTTTTAATGTTTAAACAAAAGAAGTCAGATACCTTTCAGAGATTAAAACTGGAAAAAAGCCCAATATATTGTTTCCTTCGTTTTAACAATTTTTTCTAAGTGTTGGGCATATCTACTCTCTCTATGTTTTGGCCTGGAAATGTGGTGACAAATGTGTATGGGTCTTGCACTGAAGTGGAAGGGAACTGTGTACTGAAGCACTTACCAGATCAGAACAACATGTTCTCGGGGATTACATGTAAATACCTAAAGCACATAATAAGCCTTTGTTTTTCAGGTGTCAAGGAATATCCTTTGACCTGGCTCTTGAAGCCCCTAATGCAGTTTGCTGTGAGAATTGTTGTTTTCCTTCTGGTTCTTTGAAAAGCTGGGGTTCTTTCCATATAATGCAGCCACTTTTTTCATGCTTTTGTTGTCTCCATATTGTATATGCAGCTACCTTGTTTGTGCAGGATTCCACAACAAAAGAAGTCTAAAACAGCTGGAGAGCCCCTTGCAACTGTATAACAATACTTTACAAATAAGATTGCATTCTCTTAGAGCACTTTATGCAGAGATAGCCAGGGGTACAGCTTGAAAACTAGTTTGTAGAGGCTGTGGCTGCTTTCTTGCTCTGTGGTGCTAGTCATTTTACATTAGTTATACATCAGCTTTGAAAACGTAAAACTCACTTTGCATTTTTTCAAGGTACCTCCACAGGCCCTAAAAGATAATGCCTGTGTTCTAGGACAGCTTCCCATTGCTCTCTCAAGAGTTCAGTACAGAGCTGCTGTTTTAATCTCAGAGAGCTCTGTAACAAAGTACTTGGTGAGAACAGCCAGTGTAAAATGATGCATCATATAAACTATAGACATGCAGGTTTTGCTAAACTAAGATTTTCAGGACAGCAGAAGGGACTGTTAAGTATTGTTCAATTTAGCTTCTCCAGCTGTCTGC